ACATGAGCTCGATGCAGCGGACATGAACACATCTCGAAACGCACAGGTCCGGCTGTTAACTTGGCACGCACCTCACTCAATCGCAGTTTGTGGACACCGTTAACCAGGTGGATGGGTTTAGGGTTGAGGGTTTAGGGTTTAGGGTTGAGGGTTGAGGGTTTTGGGTTAAGGGTTTAGGGTTAAGGGTTGAGGGTTGAGGGTTTAGGGTTTAGGGAGCTTTAGGATCGTCGAGCTACTGCAACGAACAAGCAATCCCACATGTTGCAGAGCTCAAAGTGAAAAATGCACGCCGCAAAGATAGTTGATGGTCAAGTCTAGAATTGCAGGGGCAAGTAGTCAAAAGGATGGCAAACACATACAACTTCAGCGGACTGGGAGTAGAGAAGATAGTATTCTTCTGGAATTTCGAAGACGATAATGGAGTTGAGGGCGACCTCGGACGGATGGACAGAAGAGAAACTGCCATATATCGCATCCATCCTATGCTCGGCGTTTGACCTGCTTGAGATGGTTGAGCCCGTACCGCAAAGGGAAGAAGTGGCCCTCGCAAGTGTCTGCTCAACCTGTGTCTTCGACTCATAAAGCCCCCTCTAGCGTTGCTTCTTTCTTTGGGTGTTTCGGTTCAAGTGGGTGGTAGAGTTGCAGCGAGTGAGGGTAGCATAGACAGACTGCCCTAAACCCTAAACCCTAAACCCTAAACCCTTTTTGAACCCCTAAACCCTAAACCTTAACCCTAAACCCTAAATTGCCCAGAGTCTGGAGTGTTTTGTCCAACCCGGCTGGATTTGGAGTGCTGGCAGAGCCGACGCCTACTACTCTACTACGACGACGACGACGACGACGACGACGACGACGACTACTACTACTACTACTAGTACTCCTGCGAGAAAACCGCCGCCCGCGGAAGCAAACCGCGCCAACGCCACTAGTTTCTGCGCCGCGATGCCCCTCAAATGCCGAGAGCACGGCGTCACTCGCAATGGAAATCATGCCCAAAGCAATAGTCTTGGCGACATGCCACCCCATCAATCAAGAACACCAAGAGGGCCATCATCTGCGCCGCGAGTCGTGCCGAAACCGTCACTTTTCGCAACACGCCGCCCCGGGAGCACCGAGAGAGTCTTCGCTCGCGAAACCGAATCGTGCAGAGACCACGACGCCTCGACAATCATCGTTTGTCGAACAGTTGGAGCCAACTAGCATCAGACATATGCAAATCATGCCCGGATGGCGACTTAATCAGTTTGAACTCACGCACAGTGCTTGAGAGATCAGACAGCCACACTCAGGCATGGTGAACTGCTAGGCATGGGCTACATGTGCAGACTCGTCATGCTATGTACCGTGCCGTTCATGTCGGTCAGTCTCTCAGACTGCACATATGCAAAGTTCAAGTGGTTCTCCTACGACTCCTATCTCAAAAACTTCCCAGAACTGAGGGTTCAGGATGTATGGTTTAGGGTTTGGGTCTAGGATTCAGGGTTTAAGGCTGCACGATTCCTTTTTCAGTAGAGGCGAGGAAGCAGCGTCGGTCGCAGCTGCGATAAAACAGCGACAAAGAGCCTCCTCATGTGGCTAGCTACACAGGTGTCGAGCAGCTAGCTACAGGTGCCGAAGCAGGTCATGGGGCAGGCCACGGGAAAGGAAATACCACCCATGGTCACCTCCGGTCTGCTGCAAGCCCAGGTATAGTCTCCACAGTTGCTGAACTCGTCAAAGCAAGGTGGGCTGGCGGAACAGTAGCCGCACTTGGTTGCGCAAGCCTCGAGGATTGGCAGGCCGTTGATGGTCCAACCTAAGGCAGATCCATGACCCCTAAACCCTAAACCCTAAACCCTAAACCCTAAACCCTAAACTTTGGGGGGGGTAGGCTCTATCGGGCTCACAGGCAAGCCTGTCTCAAACGGGGCATTAGGGCTGATTTCGGAACAAAATGGAAGGAGGCTGCTTGGTCTTCCAGGGAGCCTGGCTTGCAGTTTGAACCGGCTTCCTTAGATGATTTCAAGACGCTAAGGCCGAATGTAACAACATCTCAAACCTGAGGGTTTGGGGCTTAGGGTTGAATTTTAAGGTTTAAGGTTTAAAAGGCATTGTCAAACAACAGCTAGGCCTCACCATATGCCACCACGTGATTCTCACACCACCACGCCTCGTCGGGCTTGCAGGCGTCGGACTGTCCACTCTGTCCCTCCTCCGTCGTCGTTGCGGCGGTGGTTGTGCTGATGGTTGTGGTAGTGATGGTGGTGGTAGTGATGGTGGTGGTGGTGGTAGTGGTGGTGGTGGTAGTGGTGGTGGTGGTTGTGATGCCTTTGCAGTAACAGTACTGCGTGCCTCCAATCTCAAAGCAGCCTTGTTCCAGACCTTCTGGGCAGCCACAGGCACCGGAAGTCCCATAGGGGTGCATAGGGCACATCTTCAGGCAGCGGTTGCAGCCTTGGGCGTCGGTGGTCTTGATGATTTCATCCAGGGCACTGGCCTCCTGGTGGCAGCCACAGTCCTCCATGGTGCAGCCTTCTGGGTCAGGAGTGCAGAGCTTGAAATGGTCAATCTCCTCCAAACACCCGTACATCGAGCCTACCTGTCTGGCATCCTGATGCGTAAGGCCCATCCTGTTGCCCATCACCACCGTCGAACCATTCGGGGAGTTCACGGCCTCCATGGTCTTCAGCTTGGTCCCGTCGGCATCGACAATCCCGAAGGCCGTGTCGCTGTAGTGCATGAGCGAAAGCCTTTTGTGTTCACAAGAACGGTGCAACCCACGACCACTCCATGGGTAGTTCGTGCGGCACTACGAGACACCCTGAACCCTAGACCCGAACCCCTTCTTGCTTCAATATCAAGAAGCATGTCGTACGGCATCGTCCGGTCCCCGTCCTCGCTGGTGTCGTAGTTGTGGCGTTTATCCTCGCGGATGTTGTCCCAAAGGATCTTCACGTACCTAGGGCTTGGGGTTTAGTGTTTACGGTTTAGGGCTTACCTGGAGGTTCCATTATAACTTGTTTTCGGCACGAATTGACAAGAGCTCGTGTTTACAATCGAAACGCTCGTAGCCCCCAAAAGCGCTCGATGTGAATCTAGAGATTCTGCTCAATCTCAATCAACTCTGCTAGCATCAATGCTGTCTTGGACTTCGGGCTCCTAAACAAACCCTACAAAAAATCGTCCTTTCCCAAACAAAACCTCACAATTCCACACAAGTTGTCCTTTCCCAAACGAGGAAATAAAGATGCCCGAAACATATGTCGGGACAACCCCCGATTGATAACCCTTTCTGTTTTGCACGCGTTTTGTGGGTATTTGCGCGCGTTGCATGGGCATGTGCGTTTGCCTTTGTGGGTGCGGCTCGGGCTTTATTCGGGAAAACGGTTCCTGTTGTGGGAAAGAAAGAGTCTTTGATTAGTGTTCAGAACACGCACATGCACAAATAGCGCTCGTGATCCGATCCAGCGAGCAAGTCGGGTCTATGATTCAGCCAAAATTGCTTTTGCTGAAACATCCGCTTCATCACTGGCCAGTACGTGTCAGTAAACGCTGCTTTGCTATATAATCGCTCGTTCTTCAAAAATTCGCACGTTTGAAGCAAACGTGTATCAAACAGGCAGAAATTTGCATATCAAAGGAAGCTCCAGGCAAGGTTCGGGTCGGGGTCATTTTGGCTCAAGGCATGACCCCTCTGTCCCAAAACCCTCACTGACGCGAGCTTGAGCGTGTTCTTGCAGCCATGTCGAGTGGAGCTGTATTTCTGACTCTACGCAGTATTTCCAATCTGGATTTAATTATAGTTGGGTGGGTTGCTGATAGCAAGCCCGCGGTGCATTTGAGCTAATGGAGAGGTTGTCTGGAGTTGCACCGATACCTGCCTTCCCTAAGCCTCCAATTTCACTGCACCTCAGCACTGAATCGCGGGATCCTGCCCTAAACCCTAAACCCTAAACCCTAAACCCCTAAACCCTAAACCTGGATCCTCAGCAGCCTGGAAGCCCCCCCAAACCCATGAAACCCCAGGGTTGCTGCTGCTGCTCTGAGGTCCTCGGTGGGGGTGTGTAGCGTGCCCGGCGGGCCAAGTCCACATCCTACAGCTGCTGCTGTTGTTTGCTTTGTCTGCTATTGGGTCCCCTTGTGCTTCTCTGCGGGTGTGCTTTCTCGCCTGAAGCTGAAGAGTTGCTGAACAGTACGTTTGACAAAAGGGCTAGGGTGTTGGTAGGGATGCCACCGTGGCATACTGCACGCTTGGCCCACAGGGAGCTGGGTTGGGGCCTCACAGGTTTTGCACGTGCTCTCTTTGACGTTGCTTCCCGCCGAGCGCGCATTCAGGCATGGCCGTATGAGGATTGGTATCATAAAGCATTTAGAAGCGCCTCGTCGTCTCCCACATCTTGGCCTGCTCGAAATAGGCAGCTACTCCAAACATGGGGCATTTGCAACTTTGCTGAGAGTGACACTGGAGCAGGGCCTCGAGCCTATAAGGCTTACGATGGCCTACGTCTGCGCCACCTTGCAACAGGTTTGTTCTGAGAGGAAATTACAAGTGATGATTGCCTCCTCCTGACTGGGACACTCTGGCCGCTGCAAGATCGATCTGCAGGCTTAGATTGAGCTTGCTTTTGCGTGGTGCTACGGGGGACAGAGTCGGGTCAGGGAAGTGCAGTGCGTGGCCTCTGGCCGGTCCACAGTGTCACCACTTGCACACACCTTGCTTCGATGTGAGGCATCGGCTTCTTTTCGGCACCCTCCCGAAGTGTGGCAAGGAGCATCGCTGCAGGATATCTTATGTTTACAGCCAACGTCTGCTGGCTTCGACCAGTTTGCTTCAATGGCGGTGGCTGTGGAGCGTCATGCTAAGGCTTTCTGGTCTGCAAAACCTGGTGCCTTGAGGTGGATGCGGGTATGTGGGCCGCAGGTGAAAAGAAGGTGAGATTTATAGAGATGATTTTTCCTTTTTTCCTCGGCACCTTGGCCAACGTAGGATATCAAGCCCATCCCGCTGTGCTATGGGCCACACTGTTGTGTGGTTCCGGCCAGTAAGTTGCCGGGGTTTTGCCTTGTGTTGACCCGCAACACCTCCCTCACTGTGTGGTCCCGGGTAACCAGTTTAAACAGCCTTCAGGGTTTAGGTTTTAGGGCGTCGAACTTCAGGGCTTAGGGTTTAGGGTTCAAGGCTTCGGGTTTGGGCTGGAGGGTCCTCACGTACATCTGCACTTTTTGACTGGTGCTTAGGAAGGAACGAGGATTTGGTTATGTAGGAACTACTATAGGTATCCATTCCCTATATAGGGTCTAGGGTCTAGGGCCTAGGGTTTAGGGGTTAAGGTTCGAGGTTGGAGGTTTAAGAGGTGTAAGCGTGCCCTAAATTTCCCTGACTTTCAGGGTTTCGGGGTTTCCCATCCAGCTCATAGTTCCACAGGTCCCCGTTACTTCTCTCTCCGTCCCTAAACCCTAAAGCCTAACCCCTGAACCCTCAGTCCCCCCGACAAATTGGCAAAAAAATGCGTCGCCAGCTACTGGCCGTGGTCGGTACGGCTTTGCTCGTGGAGCATCCCAAGGTTGTGGCCCAGCTCCTGGGTTCAAACTCGTGTTTTTGATCGATGGGTTTCATCATCACCACCTTCATCGCCAACATCGTCATCCTCCTCCTCGTCGTACTTGTCGTACTCGTCGTCGTCGGCAGCGTCGTCGTCATCATCGTTATCAGCAGCATCATCATCATCATCATCATCATCATCACCGTCACCATCATCGTCAGCGTCCCTATCATCGTCAGCGTTGTCATCGCCATCCTCGTCGTCATCGCCATCGTCATATCTCTCTCTCTCTCTCTGCACGCCACGGCCCATGGACCGTGTTACGTCCCCGCGGGTCCAAGGCTACCTAACGCGCATCACTTGGCGCAGGACGCCGACCGGGGGCCCTGCACGTCCGCTGAGACTGAATCTCCAGCTCATTAACACTAAAGAACTACGACTACGGCCATCTCACGCTGTACAGTTTGGTGGCACCTGAGCTTGCGTAGTGAGTGCCATCGTCATCGCCATCATCATCATCATCATCATCATCATCATCATCGTCATCATGGCTGTTGTTGCTGCTGTTGCTTCTGCTGTTGTTGCTGCTGTTGTTCATGCGCTGTTGTTGGTTTTATTATGACCGTTACTGGGTTTCCTTCTCGACAGCAAAAAAATGGAGACAGGTATGACTATTGGACTATGGACGGCTAAATGCTGCTTGGAACTTACGCCATGTACTTAGTTGCACGACACCCTAAACCCTAAACCCTAAACCCTAAACCCTAAACCCTAAACCCTAAACCCTAAACCCTAAACCCGAAGCCGAGTTCTTAAAGGAAAAAACGGTCTTGTGGCTTCTAGGCTCGTGCGCAGCGACTCCCATCGTCTCGCAGCCATTCCCGAGGTTTAGCTGGGAGTCGGTGTAAGCATCCGGATTGCTTGAGATCTTGTAGGGCTGACCTTTAGGGTTTGGGGTTTAGGGTTTAGGGTTTAGGGTTTAGGGTTCAGGGTTGGGAGCTTCCACTCAAGGTTCCCACTTTTCTAGCACAACTACCCCCCCTGGTGTGGAAAAGTAGATGGGTGGGTGGGGGGGAAAGAGAGGAAAGACAAAAAAACAAAACACACACACTCGCGCAATCCTCCCTCTGATTTGACTTGA